AAGCTCAACACAACAGCTTTCTGAAACTAGAACAAAATTTGTGATTTCAAATGGAGAAGTGCATGAGGAATAAAATTCTGTTAGGGTTTTTACTCGTCTACCTTGTAAAGGCATTTGTATATAATGAAATCTAAAATTTCAACCATGAGACTCTTGAAATCTAATGGGATTATCTGATCGGGTTTTTAAGAGAAAAAGCCAGATGAGCAAGATTGAATTTCCATGATTTTGTGATTTGGCCCTAATATTTTTGATTACTTTTGACTTGGTCCCCGAAAGTTCTATTTACTTTATTCAGGCCCTTTAAAGTTTTAATTTTTATCAATTGGATCCCTACATTGTTTAAATTTCAAATTTCCTCCAATTTATCAAATTTCAAATTTCAGATTTTTTAAATTCTAATAATAATACCCCAAAATTTTGGGCTATTACACACACACGCACATATATATGAAAAAGTAGAAATATATATACACACACCCGCATGTGTGAAAAAATAACAATTTACGGAAGTCAATCACTTTTTAATAATTAATTTTACCTCTTTCCTTTCTTTCATATATATGTTTGTTTTTGTGGATGTGTATAATATTGAACAAAAAAAATCATTTATGTAAATAAAATTTCTTTCTAATAATTAATTTTCTATATTTTTCCTTTGCTCATATATAAAACAATTCACGTAAATCAATTTTTTAATAATTAATTCCTATTTATTCATTTAGTCAAATATGTGAAAAAAATGAAAAAAGAAAATATTTATGTAAATCATTTTTATTCAACAATTAATGCATATTTTTTTCTACACATAGGTGTATTATTATATATATATGTATATATGAAAAAAATTAGAAAGGAATTGACTTTACTTACTTTCTTTGCCACCTAATTCACACTTGTTGGCCTGGTTTTTCATGCCATAGTTTTTTTTTCAAGCATAAACACACACAATTTTATATATGAAAAAAATAAAAAATTCATGTAAATCAATTTATTTATAATAATTAATATTCATCTTTTTTTATGTATGTGTGTGGAGGACAAAAAAAGGAAAAATGAGAGGATGTAAATCAAATATTAAAAAAAACACCTGAAATGTTTCTTTTTACATATTAATTCAATTTTGTAACATTAGAGATTTCAAATGTGACTTTCCACAACATTATTCTTGTTAGGGCAATTAATAAGTCAGATTCTGGTTAGATCATGATAGATAGATTAGATCGAATACGATAGTAGTATACTATGTTTGAATTAAATTCGAAATTTTATAAAACATATATTTAATACTACTATATCTGAATCCAGATAAAAATCTAATATCTGACATAATGGTTCGAATCCAAAATGTTAAATTATCATATATTTATTATCTTACATTGTAAGAAAAATATTCAAAACCAAACACAAAATTCTTAATAATGAACTAATAAACAATTTTAGAGTTTAAAAATCTAATATAAGTACATTTGATTCGTCAAAAGTATTGCATTTGAGATTAGGTTATTGGTAATATATAATAACTATATTTAACCCATCAACACATATATATATATATATATTTTTTTTGTTTTTGTTTTCATAAAAAAATGTGTTGCTAATTCTATTATTAATAAGAAATTTATTAATTCAATTATGATAAAATAAGTTTATATTGTGATATATATATATATATATATATATATGAGAAGGGATCAATTGACATTAGGTGTAAGTGTAAAGACTTACACTACATCTTATATCGTTGATTTGGTTACAATCAACGATTTAGATTAATTACAGCTGATTTAAATGCAAAATAATTATTGGAGTTAGTAAAAAATAACTGTATTAATCTACACTGTTGATTTTGACAAAATCAACGGTGTAAGATGTAGTGTAAGTCTTTTACACTTACACCTGATGTCAATTGATCCATTTTCTCTCTCTCTCTTCTCTCTCTCTCTCTATACATATATATATATTTAGATTTAGATTTAGATATTAGACAGATTAAATTATGTAAAATTCTATTTATTCCATTTATTTGAGAGTATGGACTTTTATAATCATATTGTGTCTATCAAATTTTTTACCAATTTTTTAAATAATTAGATCGAATTCAGATCAATTTTGGATTAAAAAGTCATTCCATTGACAATTCTATTTCTTGTTAGATATATGACATAATTTTAACCTAAAAATTATCTCTCAACTATTTGATGTCAAATGTATAACCAGGGAAAGTTTCTCTTCCCTCTCGTCCTTTCCCAAACAATAAGGAAGAAAACGGCTAATGAGCATACAATACCACTTTTGGCCTTAAAATTAAGATCAAGTTGTTTCCTGTGAGTCACCAATATTCCACAACTGTTGTTATTATTATATTATTATTATTATTTATTATTATTATTATTATTATTATTATTTGGGTTCTGCGGCAATTATGCAATTTTAGGGTTAGCAAGTACGCCTCCTCTTTAGGAAGCTTATTTACTCTACATTTTATTGCCAAATTTAGATTATAGGTTATATTTGATTCAGATTTCTGTGGAAGATAGCTACGTGATAAAATTTTGTGTTATTTCTTATGAAAATTTCAAAGCATCAAACACGCCCTTATCCCCGTGGGCTGGCATATTCCATTTCATACTGAAATAATACGGATATCATTGTGTTAGAATTGCTGTTTATGTTAAATAATTAATAAATAAAATCAAAATAAGCATACCATGTGTTTGGAGTTTCAGTCTTTAATTTTTCTTGAAGTGAAAACGACAAGCTCTTCAATCGTGGCAAGAAATGAAAGCATTTTTTATATAATTATTATTTTTTAAAGGATGCAAAACCTTTAACAAAATTTAAGGCATAATAATCTTGTCCATTGGGTGGCACGTCGTTGGCACTAACGAGTCGCGTCTCGTGAGCGGCGTCAAGTTCAACGGGGCGGCTTTCCGGGCCCAGTCCCACAATCCAGACCAGTCTCCCAATAACCACTACGTGGCCTCTCCAATTTGTTCACATATTTAATGCCCGGTGAAGTTGGGCTCTTACCAGCCACATGAATAACCAATTTCTCACAACCAATGAAATGTCCCCTGGTGTACACGGCTGTCCTACTACCATAACGGGGTGACATAAATTGAAAATTTGATAGTCATTGTAGAATCGCTCTAAGGGAATCTCCTGTGACTAAACGCGTTCACACTTGGAAAACGAGATATTTGTGTATCCACGAAAGTGCAGCCCATTGATTTGGACGCCCGAAATGACTTATTTAACCTTGGATGAGGTTTCTATTTGCTGGGGCTAATGCCCCTGAACTGCTTGTGCGTTGTCTGAATTTTTTGTCACGAATGCTAATTTGACATAATTAACCTCAATTTGCTTATCCGCTCATCATTCATTGGGATTAATCTCTTTCTAATTACGTCTTTTTTATTAAATACATTTTAGGAAAAAATATTTTATATTCAAAAAATTAAATCCAAATCATGAATAGTTACAATATCAGGCCTGCATTCTATTTTTGTAGAATTCAAAAGAATTCAAACATTGCTTTTTTTGTTTTACCAAGTGGGTAAGTCTTGAATTTGATTTTTCTATTTTTAGATTTTTTAAATTTCTTTTAAGGGCAATTTAATAAATAGTAACATTCTTGTTGGAAAACTGAGAATAATTTATAAATATAAATACAAACCAATTGTTGTTATTTTACTGATTTTTGTCTAAAATTTACAATTTGAAGGTTCATTATTTGGTATAATATAAATATCTTTTATATTTCTCTACATATATGTTATCTTGTATTTATTTTTTTATGGAAAATTGCACTTCACATTTCTGTTTAATCTCCTGTTATATAACTGATTAACAATTTTGTAATCATTTATTATTCATGTTTATTTGTTTTATGGTAACTCAAGCAAAAACCGAAATATAATAAATTTTAGTAAAATTTTGTTTCACTTGAAAATAATTAAATTGTAAATTATATATATATTAGGCGTTCTGGAAAAAAGAAACTTATAAAAAATTATTAATATTATCTTCAATTTACAAGTTCCAAAAAGGGTCTGGAGAAAAACTTGCATTACTTTGATGTTAAATGGGTTTTATGACGTGGTTGTTCGAAAATTCGGTGTTAAGCAGACAAAATCATAATACTCCCGATGCACCGAATCTTCCCACCCATTCTGTATTTTACCTCTCAGTACAAGTCCAAAGGCCATTTCAGTAATTTCATGAGGCAACGTACCTGGTCTGTCTTCATTTGTTGGTCTCATAACTCCAAGCCGTTTCATGTTCGCCGTTACCTGCGTCAACATTAGAAAATGGAAAATCAATAGCCTGATGCCTTTTTGGTTTCCATTTTCCCACTTGATTTTGTTCCCACTTTTAAAATTTTCCAACTACCATAAAAGCCCAGCCGTGCATTTAATTGACCAGATCGATCTGGGCCGTCACATCTCTGACTCAATAAGAACCACTAGATATCAGTGAATCCGACGGCTAAGAACAGTCTACTAGAAGCTTCTCTAGCTCCAAGTCTATATATCTTCCCCCTTCTATCAGGAGTGTGCTTGTGTTCTGCTCGTGGCGATCTCGTGGGAGGGGCTAGCACTTCGGTCTCTGTGATTTGTATCTCTTTCAGAAGGTCAGCCCTCTGTGTTGTTCACTTGTTAATCTCTCGATCACTAGCTTAGGTTTCTCTGATCTTTGTTCCATTCAGATTTTTTTTTACCTCTGCCGGTCGTGTTTTAGTACTAGCTTTGACCTCTTTGCCGATCTCAATCTGACTGTATGTGTATATACATCCTGCATCTGATTGTTGATGCTTCGATGAATGGCAATTTATTGGAAATCTGGTAGTCTTGGAGAAGTTCTTAGTTTGCTGTAGTTTTGTTCTGCGGTGTACTTACTGTACATTTACTGGTACTGCTTATCTTTCAGTTGGTACTTATTTCGGAGCGTTGATCTGATTCGTTTTTGTTTCTGAAACCGATGTAGAAAATTTAGCTATGGGGAAGTCGTATCCGACTGTGAGTGAGGAGTACAAGAAGGCTGTTGAGAAAGCCAGGAGGAAGCTCAGAGGCTTAATCGCCGAGAAGAACTGTGCTCCCTTGATACTCCGTATCGCGTATGCTCTCTTTCTTTCTCTATTGATTTATCTTGGACATCCTCGCAGAATTTGTGAACCTATATAAGCATTCAGAGTAAATGTGTGTTTTTCTGGTTTTATATGGTGATCGGTGGAGATTTGATCCTAGAGTTGCTTTTGCAGATGGCACTCAGCCGGTACTTATGACGTGACCACCAAGACTGGAGGTCCGTTCGGGACAATGAGGCACAAGGGGGAGCAAGGCCACGCCGCTAACAACGGCCTTGAGATCGCTGTCAGACTCCTTGAGCCATCAAGGAACAGTTCCCTATTCTCAGTTACGCCGATTTCTATCAGGTATTTGTCTCCTTACGTTTTTTGTGGATATATATTTGTATATAATGCGCAGGTCATGAGATTGTTTATTTAATATTTTGATACAAATCTTGATTTCTATGTTACCCTGTGATGTAGTTGGCTGGAGTTGTTGCCGTTGAAGTTACTGGAGGCCCTGAGATCCCATTCCATCCAGGAAGGGAGGTGAGTGAAATTTTAATCTTCATTTCATATGCATTTAGTATAGATGCTGACAGTGTTTCAAGCGTGGACAGCGCATATATGGAGATAATTAAATTAGAAATGTATGAGCTTATTTTTATTCTCATTCTTTGACTCTTGGAGCGTTGGTGTGTATGTGAATTCTGTGTGTCTGTGTCTGTTTATTTCTTCAGTGATTGTATGGTCTGTTTCTCTTTAACGCTTCTTGATTTCTGGTTGTGAGGACACGATATATTTGGTTGCATCGGTCCTACTACAATGGCCTGGTATTTGTTTGTGCTATGGTCTTAATAAGGATTCCGTGTTTTCTTGGATACTATTTGGATTGGAAGCTCGTAGCAAAAGTTATTCGTCTTTGATGGCTTATTAATGTTATTATTTTGACGAAACTGTTATGTATTATTATACATTTCCTGTATTTAATTAAATCTTTTTTTTTTTTTTTCTAATTATTGTACAATGTAACTGGATCATAATACTGGGTCAGTCCAGGTGTATATACATATTTTAATGCTGGCTCGTGGGCATGCTGTATCAATTTTGTATCAATCTTTCTACTTGTTGCAAGCTTTGGAAATGTGATTAAAATTGTCTCAACTCGTGTGGTTCTTGAAAATGAAGGACAGGAAAGCAATGCGGAGTGTTTCCATATCATGCTTTTTGGTACTGGATGTTTTTGGCAATTGTTAAATGTTCTACTTATGCCTGTATTACCTTGTGGTTTGTTGGGTGATTAGGTTAATGTAGACTAGGCTTTATCTAGATAAGGAGCTTTGCTTTTGCTGAAGAGAACTGATTTGCACTGCCCCATAGCTTCTGGCAAGGAAGAGGGATGGCTTACCCTCTTCACCTCTTTAATGAGAGGTTATGTAGGAACTACTGTAGGCAACTTATATCTACTTTTCTCAGCAAGGATTGGCCTATGCCTTCAAATTGTACTCTTCACATGCAAACAAACTTCAAAGGCCATGGCATTCTGAACTGGCATTATGTAACATGACTTGTAAATCTGTGAATAGTCAACATTAATGACGATTTTATTATTTCTGATTTATGCCAGTACATCTGATTTTTTTTTTTTATTATTATTATTATTATTATTTTTTTTTTTTTTTTGCTGCACAATTTCTAATGGCAACTTTCTATCATCTCAGGACAAGCCGGAGCCACCAGTTGAGGGTCGTCTTCCTGATGCTACCAAAGGTTAGTATTGTTAATATATTGATCATGCTATTACTTCAATTTAAAATTGGAAAAATATAAAACACGCTTGATAAGCCTTAACATGGAGATCTTCGGTGTGTTGTTTACCATTGTGTTATTCCTTCCAATCCTGCAGGATCAGATCACTTGAGAGATGTGTTTGTTAAACAAATGGGCCTGACAGATCAGGATATTGTTGCTCTCTCTGGTGGCCACACCTGGTTTGTATTCTGAGCCGGGATTTTGCTTATTTCCTTTGATTTCATTTCTATGGTTCTTGGCCTTGTAATTTTCCCGTGTCAAGCTTTCTTTTCTATCCTCGAAAATTTCCTAGGGAAGGTGCCACAAGGAGCGCTCTGGATTTGAGGGACCTTGGACTACCAACCCGCTCATCTTTGATAACAGCTATTTTAAGTACGTTCCTTTGGGCTATGTACAATGTGTACAAGGATATATTGATTTTAGCCACTGTTTATCTGGGAAATTATCTTCAGTTTGTTTTTTTTGTTACTAATTACATGTTATTTTTGAGCAGGGAACTCTTGAGCGGAGAGAAGGATGGGCTTCTACAGCTTCCATCTGATAAGGCCCTTCTCTCTGATCCAGCCTTCCGCCCTCTTGTTGAGAAATATGCTGCGGTAAGCATTTGTCATTTCTTTGCTTCAGTTTTGTGAAGTTTAACTAGTGAACATTATTTGGTTTCTTATCATGGCACATTGATTTGTTCTTTCAGGATGAGGATGCTTTCTTCGCTGATTATGCAGAATCTCACTTGAAGCTCTCTGAACTGGGGTATAATTTCCAATCCCTGTGTATGTTACATAACTTGAATGGCCAGTGTCTTAACGAGAGAATCTGACAGTCTTAAGCTGTGTTTTTGGATTCTGTTGTGTTTTTACCAGGTTTGCTGAGGCCTAAGTTCTGGACGAAGAATGACACGGAATGGTGGCCTGTCTAGACTCTTGTCAACTTTTGTTATGGATACCGGAAAAAACTTGGATTCCTAGGCCTATGGGTGTGTGGTTGCTAAATTTGTACGTGTTGCTTTTTGGTTGGGTTTGGTGTATTGGAAGCTTGGCGATAGCAAGCAATCTTGTGGTCATCGTATTCGCTCTGAATAAGATTGATTTCTGTTAAATAGATTTAGCTCCTGTTGCTCGGATTCCCCGCCCTCGTACTTGGGCGTCTTTGAATTGTGTCTAAGGGATATAACTTTGTGTCTCTGTGTGAAGATAAGTGTGATCATTGTGAAATAATTTTTAAAACTTGGGTTAAAATAGAGAACTCTAGCGGGAAAAAATTTTTAGAAAATTAACTGAACAAAAGCACACAACTATATAACGTAAAAAAAATTATGTTTAGGAGTTATTTTAAGGAATTTTGTTGATTCATAGAGTATGGGTTTTACTTAAATATTGTAGTGTCAATATTGAAATTAAAATAAATAATAAATAACTTTTACCTTTTATACTAAGAAAATAACAAACATTTAAAGTGGTTCTTAAAACAATAAATTAAACCGAATTTGTCATGTATAGGTTTAATAAATAATTATTTTATTTTATGACAATTGGTTTATGGTGTGGAATGGATAACATCTGAAATTAGATTTGAGTAATTGTACTCCAATACATATCCCACCAGGATATAAGAGTCTTGTAATATCCCAATTAGGGGCCTAATGGAATGAATTGAAAACTTGAGAGACCCGAACAAAAGAAAGGGGAAGTTGAGAGGCCAACTGTAAAGCACAAGAACTGGGTTCTGATCATCTTCAACATCTCCTGCCTGGCACTATCTCCGAATCGGGGAGGTTTCGGCTTGATTAGGCGGCTATGTTTATGTATATATGGCTGTATATGGATATAAGCCTAAAGCCCTGAACCAATTTAATCTTTCGCTTCTCGGGTTTCTCGATTTTGCCGACTCATACCCTCGAGATTTTAGTTGCTGGCCAAACGCCACTAAGACTCTTTTGATTCAAATCTCCGATCACCACTTCCGTCGTCCACATGCGAATCTCCTCGTTTTCTCCATTGGCTAACACAGATCGACGCCGACCAAAAGATCGTTGCACGTAGGCCCATTGAAACCGCCAAGCAAATTTCTTACGGCCGCACAGTTTTGAGTGACTTGTTTGCCGTAGCTAACTTGTTTCTTCTGCGCCACCGTTTTAACTCGCCTGCAAACCCGCCAATTTGCTTCTGGTCCCCAATACCTATAGCCAACAGGGCTCTCGAACAGAGGAGGACCGTGTAAGAGTTTCGGGTTGGGTTTTGAAAGGGAACCGGATCTTGGGTCATGGGTCCTAGATCCAGGTGTGGGTTTAAAATATGGGTTTTGGGTTATGGACTTGGGTTAATGGATTCGTAGGATATTATAGATATGGATTTGGATACTGGATTTAGATATGGGTTTTGAATTTTGACATTTTGAATCAGAATTTGTTTCAGGATTTGGATATCTATCTTTGGGTGGTTTCTTGGATCAAATGTTGATCTATCGAGAAAAATTGGGTTAGATTAAATATTTTCTTGAATAAATTAAATCATTGGCTACTGACTTGGAAAATTATGTTATTTGTGTGGTTTTAAATTTTTCAAAAGTTTCTTGTTATTACTATTGATTCCACAGCACTAAAGGACAAATCATTTGATTTCAACTTATTTTATGAATGGTAATATAGGTTTATGCTTTATTTTAAATGTTTTTAAATTCTCAAAATTTGTTTTAAAGTTACAAATTGATTATATGCATTGCAAAGTAATTTCTAAAATATGAACATTGGAAAAACATTTTTGGAAATTGTTTTTAGAAAACTCTCAATTAGTAGAGCTTAAGTAAATCTTAGAATAAGCGCTTTTAAAAAATTTGCTTTTAAATTATAACATGTGAGTATGAAATTGTATATATGATTTCAAAGATGTTTTAGTTAGTTTTGTCCGCATGTGTTGAATGATAATTGAAACAAAATATTAAAACGTATAACATATGAATTTGTGGGAGAGGATGTGACCGAACACTAGAGCTACCAGAAATGTCATTAGGTAGGGCATACTTTATTTATTTTGGTTACCTAGCTAACAAGGGGTGTTAGTTTAACATGTTTGGCCAACATGGATGGTTTTGATTGATACATGGCTGTTTTGATTTTGGTGCTTGTCTTCTCTCATCACAATTTTGAGTTGTGATTTCACTTAGATACAATATGATGTATTTGAGATGCATGATTGTTAATATTTGGATATGATTTCAAATAAAGTTTTGATGAAATATGTTTTAGAAAAACATTTTATATTTATGTCTTGGTATAAAATGATACTGAACTTATGTTTTAAATAATAAGAATACTTGTGAAAAACTTTTGTATTTGAGTTTATTCTGTTCCTATTACATGCGTAGATTATTATTTATTCAGTTATAAACTCATCATTCACTTACATTTTTTAACTTTTTGAGTCAAGCTAGATTTTGATCAATTAGGTTGTTGTAGGAGTTTTTTTTTTGGATTTGTGTAGTTAGGTTTTGATTAGTTTCTTTTGATTTAGATTTTGTATTGAACTCTAAACATGTTCTATTACTTATAGGCAGGATTTTGATTTTGTTGGGACTCTTTAGTTTTGAGATGTCTTGTGTTTAAATGTTTTGGCATGGCTTATGTGTATGCCTCGAAAATAATGTTTCTATTTCAATTAGGCTTGCTTGGATTGCTTGATCCAATCCTAGCGCTGATCATATCCCGAGATTGGGGTTGTAACAAGTCTAAACATGTATTTGGATCCAAATCGTGAATAAATGCCATAAATAATAAACAAAATGTCTTAGTTTCAAAATAACATACTTACATAGCTATGAAAATCACAAATATTTGTTTGTGGAAAATATACATTATGTATTTCTCTTGTTCAACTTTAGCTTTTATATTTGATTTTATTCACTTTGATCCCTAGGCTTAGGATATGACATGTAAAATTGATATTTTATATATTAGTATATAATTATAATATATGATAACTATATAATTAATAAAAACCAAAAATTATATAATTAATATTTAATTATATACACTAGCGTCATGACGTAGAATTTCCTCACAGGGATGCTATGAAATGACAAAGCTTAAGAGGAAGAAAACAAGGGCATTGGATCAAATGAATATCTGGATGATGGTGAGATGGTCTGCAAGAGATCACTCCAAATAGGCATGTCTAGCTCAGCACTCCGTTGTATAACAACATGACGAGGCCGGGCCATCACCCTTTTTTCCCTTTCCCCTTATATATACATTGAATCTGTTGTGCCATTGAGGGGCATTCTCCTAATGCCTTTCCTTCTTCATTTTTGCATTGAGTTATCTTTATAGGAGCTCCTATGTAGTGCTTTTTTAGTAAGTGTAATAAAGAAATGGGAGACCAATCCTCCTGTAAGGGTGTGGCTCCCTTCTCTCTATCATTTTCTCGTTGTTGTTTACCTTGTTGCAAGTTTCTCAAGCAAGAGAGTTGTTCTTACAATTGGGTGTGGGGTGAAGAAGGTGTTAGGACCTTCTTGTTGCACTGCCCTAGTTGGAAAAAATAAGGTGGGTGACATTGTGGTAGTAGAGTGTGATGTTCGGGTGATCCGTTTCACTATTGTGGTTGCGAGCATTGGTTGCATTTAGGAAGGCATCAGTCATGGGTGATTTTTCTAAGGAATCGGGTATTGTTTTTGCTGGCTCGAAAAGAGCAGCTCCTCCAGATGGTTAGTGATTAGTTTAGTTGAGGATGAATTGGTTGGAGAACGACCTTGAAGTGATCGAGGAGGATATCTTGGTGCTTAGGATGTTGAGGAGCAAGCTACAATGATTGGAGAGCTTGAACCAAAGGAAGTCCATCAGCAAGGAGCCAGGATCAAGGAGCTAGAGGTTGAACTTGAATAAGCTAGAGAAGAGTAGCGACTCTTTAAAGAAGACAATGAGGCTTCTTGTGAGTTGTTGATAGGCTTAGGAAAGCAGATTGAACAATTACAAAACAAGTTTGGTAAAGGTGTTCTGCTACCCAATGGGGATGATTCCTAAGAAGCGTTGAAGGCTAAAATCAACTATCTTCGGAATGAAATAGAGACGACGAAGATGGAGTTGGATCACCTGCATCCACTTAAAGAGGAGAACTAAAGGTTGAAGACAGAGGGTGTGGCATCCTAATCTTAGGTTGCTTTGCATAACATGTATATATGCATTATAATATGATTTGCATACTGTGCGACTTAATTGAATCATGTATATTATGTGATATATTTAATTTGTGAAAGAATTAATTTAAACCTTAAGGAAAAACTCTTTATTTTTCTTATTTACTATCCTAAGAGAGGAGATAAATTCTAGGAGGTTTAAATAGATATTAAGAAAAGCATAGGATAGGAAATTGGAATTTATTTAGAAAAGAAAATGAGAGAATTAATAGATAATTTGGAGATGTAAGTAAAAATTTATGGAAATTAATTTAGTAAATTAAGGTTAATAAAATATAAATTTAATTTTAGTTGAGGCTTACATTTGAGAGGATTAGAAGGGGATTCTCTAAATTCTCTTAGCACAAAAAGGTCAATTTTGGAGTCGAGGTACATGGAGGTAATTAAAGTAGAAGACTAGGGCCCATTACAAGAAAATGCACGTATTGTAATAAATTTTTAATTACTATAAACTCAGATAATTGTTCTTATAACTTATTGTGACGATGAGAAATTAAATTTCATTACTAAAATTTTTGTACAAGATTGTTCATCGTAATAAGTATTTGTAACGAAAATAATTATGTCATTACCAATACTTTTTAGTGACGAATCTACATTGGTTACAATATAAAAAATTGATAACTAATTTTTTTGTTACAAAATGTTGATATTTTGGTGACGAACCTACTTTAGTTATAATATTATAAAATTGGTAATTGATCTTTTTGTGACACAAATTTTAAATGTTTT